CGGCCCCACCTTCACGGAGCGTCTACTCCAAGATGGCTAAACCCAAGTGTCTTCCAATTCTTTCTGTTCTTTGTTTTTACTCTCAAAAATGGACAAGGCCATGGGTGCTGTGGCCCACGCCTCTTATCCCAGCAGCTCGGGAGGCTGAATCAGGAGGATCGAAAGTTGGAGGCCAGCCTCAGCCCTAAGCAGCTCAGGGAGACCATGTGGCTCAGGGGTTGAGGGCCCTGACTTCAATGCCTGGTATTAAAAAGAAAAAATAAAAAACACAGCCCACGGGATCCCTGTTCCATTTCCAGGTCGAGGTCCAGGCCTGGGAGATTCTGAACTGGACCGAGCACCCCAAGACCCTGCCTCCCTCCTCCTAAGCCTAGGCCTCGGTTAACACGACCCTGGTGGCGCGGGCCTCTCTCTGCTCGTGCGCCGAGCCTCCCTGTGTGGCCTGGAGCCCCTGAGCCCCGCAGGGCAGGGCCATGCTCACCCTTGCAGGTCCTCCCGTTGGCCATCATGGTGTAGCCCTGGTCGGGGCACGCGCACTGGTAGCTCCCGGGCACGTTGACACAGCGGAAGGTGCAGAGGATGCCCGCGCCCTGAGCACACTCGTCGATGTCTGCCAGGGACAAGGTGGGCCCAGGTGACCCCAGCCCACCCCCAGGTCCCAGCCGCTGACAGCAGCAGGAGAAAGTCGGCCAAGGCCCCCGCAGCCTCCGTCCCAGATCTGACTCCATCCTTCACCAGAGAGGCCGGGGGGCGTCTCCCGGTTACAGAGGAGGAGCCTGAGGTCAGAGTGGCCCAGCAGTTCCCCCAGACACCACGGCAGGCGACTGAAGGGCTGGGACTGGAACGTGGAACTCCCGACAGACCCCTGCAGGCCCTGGGCGCCCGGCCCTGGAGCAGTGCTCTGGGAGCCTGGAGGCCGGGCGAGGGAGGCCCACGGGCGGGGGAGGCCCACCTGTGCAGGTGTGCCCGTCCTCGGCCAGCTGGTAGCCCTGGCGGCAGTAGCACTGGTAGGAGCCGTAGATGTTGGCGCACTCCTGGCTGCAGCGCCCGGCCTCACACTCGTTCACGTCTGCAGGGGGGCAGGGGCGGGCCGTGAGGCCGGGGTCAGCTGGCCAGGAGCCTCGCCTTTAGAAACGGTCAGTTCTCACATTTTGGAGGCCAGTGGAGAACCAGAGGCCAGGAGAAGGACAGGAAGCCAGTCGGGGGCAAGGGGCAGGGCAGGGCCAGGGCTGCACACAGTGGGGTAGTCACAGGTCAGGCCAGTGCTTGGGGGCCTGGTGCTGTCCCCACGCGGCTCTGGGGGTGTGGCCACCTGGGTGCTGACACAGGCCTCCACAAGGGCTGCCAGGTCCCTGCTATGGGGCGCACCTGGGGACATAGCCATGAGCCAGACGGACAGGTCCCTAAGTGAAGGAGGTCACACGCACACACAGAAGAGCACAGGGGCAAGGTGACAAGCAAGTCCAACAATCACTATGTCAAAAGGAGCCAGGGAGCGGGGCGCAGTGGTGCGTGTGTGATCCCAGGGGCTGGGAGGCTGAGGCAGGAGGATCGCAAGTTGGAGGCCGGCCTCAGCTACTTAGGGAGACCCTAAGCAACTCAGGGAGACCCTGTCTCTCAATAATATAGAAAAAGGGCTGGGGACGGGGCGCAGGGATCAGGCACCCCTGGATGTGACCCGATACAAAAAAAAAAGAGAGTTGAAGTCCACCCAGGGCCGTTCAAACCGACTCCACAGACACGGGCACTTGGGGCTTCTGGAGAGCCAGGGAAATGGCCACCAGGGACCCACGGGCTTGGGGTCCCTCGCAGCACGGTGGGCGTCCCCAGGCGGCCAGGGACCAGGCGGTGGGTACCTTCGCAGTGCCTGCCGTCGGCGGCCAGCAGGAAGCCCGAGGCGCAGGCGCAGCGGTAGGAGCCCAGCGTGTTCTCGCACGTGTGCTGGCACAGGCGGCCCGGCGAGGCCCAGCACTCGTTCAC